ATAAGTTGGTACTCCTTGTGACACTAGGAAATGACTTCCTTGTCAACTTCGCTTGCGCGTAGACTTCACATTTCTCAGGTTTGTTACCCCCACATTTAGGAAGTAATCCTAACTTTTCCATGCTAGACAGATTTCTATAGTTTACATGTCCTAGCTTATTATGCCATAATACAGAGGAGTAAACAGAAGATGATATTTCATTTACAACTGAGTTAGGTACAATAGTACTGATCTTATACATACCATCAGTACGATATGCATTGCCAAAATATATTTTCTTAAAAGATAACACATTGTTTCCTCCTTGGAAATCCAGTCTCATACCGGCGTCACACAGCAGGCTTTCAGAGACTAAGTTTTTGACAATTGAGGAAACATGTTTCACATCTTTCAATGTGAGAGTCTTTCCTGAAGAAAGAGTCAGCACCACAGTCCCAGTTCCAAGAATAGGAACCATAGAATGATCAGCCATTGATACGTTTTCTTTGGCAGCAACATAGGAAGAGAACAAATCTCTGTTGGAGCAGACATGACAGGTTACACCTGTATCTTACCACCAACCAGAGACTTTGCTAGGAGTTGTCACCTGAAAGAGTATAGCCACACAATTGTCAAGTTGATTAACATTGTGTATTATTCCCTTCTTTGGTGCTTTGAAGTCTTTGGCAAAATATCTTTGCTTCCCACAATTGAAGCATTTTTCGCTCTTCTTGAAATTTTTCTTCTGAATATTCAAGTTCTTCGGACTATGATTCTTCTTTTTGTTAAAAGACTTCTTTTTCTTAGAAGATCTGGTACCCTTCTCAGAGTTAGTAGCCACCATGTTAGCAGACGCCTTCTGCTTAGCTAGGAGCTCATTCCCCTTCTCAGAGTTAGTAGCCACCATGTTAGCAGACGCCTTCTGCTTAGCTAGGAGCTCATTCTTTGTGCGAGTCCGAATCTGCCACCATGTTAGCAGACGCCTTCTGCTTAGCTAGGAGCTCATTCTTTGTGCGAGTCCGAATCTCGTCCTTGATCCGAATGAACCTCTTCAAATCAGATAAAGTCACCTGTCTTTTTCTTCTTTGAAGGTCCTTGGAGAACGACATCCAAGATGGAGGACGCTTGTTAACAATTTCACTAGAAATAAAGGTTTGACAAAGACTGATATTTTTATCATTCAGCTTCATAACAAGCTTTTCGGGTTCTTTGACTTGAGGCAAAATCTCAGTGTCATCTTCAAACTTGAAGTCCAGAAATTTTTTAATGAGGTGAAACTTGGAAAGCTTCTCCTCATCTTTGTATTGCTCCTCCAGAGCATTCCAGAATTTCTTTGCAGATAGTTTGTTGGTGTAAGCATCTGCCAGATGATCAGCCATGCAGTTAAGGAGATAACTCCTACAAAAATGATCATCTTTATCACGAGAGATTTCAGACTCATAGTCTTCTTCAAAGTCAGGTTTTTCTTCAGAAACCACATAGTAGATTTTTAGGAGTTGCATCACAAAAATCACTTTTCGACGCCATGCGTTAAAGTTAGATCCATCAAAGTTTTCTAACTTGAAACAGTCCACTCCAAGAGTCCTCACAGGATCCATTAGTAGATCTGAAATATTGCTTTAAGATTGTTGGAAATAATGGTTAAATCTGGAATTAAACAGTGAAGGATGATGTGCTGTTATTTTAAACTTTTCAATTAACTGCTGTGTATTTGTGAAACGCTATGCTTAAAGCAATATTTGGTCTACTCCGATGCAATGATCCCAAGGACAAACTGTTTCCAGGAATAGCAGTACAATACTCTGGTGTGTACTAACCCAGTACTGTCAAGATCTCCTCGACCTGACCTTTAGGTCAAGGCAAAAGATCTCATCGATCTCATCCTTTTGGTTCAAAATCTTTCGGTTTCAGGGTTCCTGCGGGCACAGTTCTGCAGCAGTAGCACAACAACAGCAACAACAACGTCGATCCGACGTTCGTTTTCCAAGCTCGCGTGTGTATACCGACGTTCGTCTTCTATACTGACGTTCGTATTCCACGCTCGCGAGAGAGTTTTTAGCAGCAACCAAGAGCTGCCCAATGACGCTATTTATAGGCCTCTAAGGCCAGTTCAAGAGTCACTAGCAATTAATATGACTATTACAATTCTTAATGGTAATTAAGATTGTAACATCAATGCATTAAATTGCTCTAAATGCTGGTGTAACTGCTGTATGCAGTAACTACTGAATACGAGGCAATCAATGGACGCGTTGCTACGAAACGCGAGGGTCACGACTCAGCAAATCAGACGAACCTCGTTTGACAAACGAACGTCGTCAAATGGACGAACCTCGTATGACAGACGAACCTCGTTGAACGAGCGAACGTTGTCAAACAGGAGAACCTCGTATGACAGACGAACATCGTCGAACGAGCGAACTCGTATGATAGACGAACCTCATCGAACGATCGCCCTGATGCCTCCGTGCGAAGTGCAAAGTACGCCTAACAAAGCGTCACTTAGCGCCTCAGTCCGATTAGCCCCGATCACCGGCCCATTGGCCCACGGCCCACGACCCACTAGAACTTATAAGGGATTAATTCAAATAAAACACTTCTTGGCTTTACCGTTGGCAAGTCTCGAACAAGGGATCTTTTGAAATACCAAAACATAAACTTTCCACTAGGCTACTAAGCATTTATGAAAAGTACTTGTAGTTAATATATATATAGTTTGAAAACTCATTTTGAAAAGCGGTTTTGACCAAAAAATCCAACATTTATACTAGATATCAAACTGATTCCAAGTAACATGCTTCTTATGTTCAGGGAATCTGTGTCTAAACGCCCAGATGAACTTCATTATATTTTGACTTAACCCTACTACTTCCTATTGCCATGACTTGATAACGCAGGTAATAAATGGCTTTTGGAAAGTCCACCACCATCATAGTTACAGCTGTCTCGGTATTACACGTCACAGTTGGGCTGAATGGTCTACAGCTGAAAATTGTGAAAATCTCCACAAAAGAATTGATTACATTTTTGCAACCCGCCTGTGAGTCAGAAATCATGAGCAACGACCCTCCTTTAGAAGGTCGTTAGACAGCTGATGTAGATTTTTCTCATGTAGCTAATGAGCAACCTTCCAAATTCTTCTAGTCTGAAAAAAGAGCACACAAGGAGTTGTCATCTATTACCCTTCTTTTAACCTCGTTGTTCATCTTCATTGTTTATCTAATTTATTGTTCTCTTTTTGTGCACCTAGCTTTTCGCTCAGATCCATTTAGGCAGATTCAAATTCTTATGTCTTACTTCTCTTTGCCCTTTCTAATTTTGCCCATCGGTTAGCAATTTGAAAATAAACTTTGTACTAATGAGATTCATGTCATTCTAATATAAAAGTCATCATACTTATGAGATTTAAATACCCAGACTCTAGCATTATTCTTGAAAATCATGTTTACAGTGCAATTGGAGATCTCTAAGACATTTCGGGCATGCTGTAGGATTTCGTGGACATCATGATCCCAAGAAATTATGTTATAACTTAAACAAATGCAGATTTGCAGGCTGAAGTTGTTTTCCTTGAGTATTGACACTCTTTTCAATTGGGGAAATGTTGGATATACTCGGAGCCTTTTAAGTATGATTTGGAATTTGGTTCATACTGATAGAGTTTGCCGAAGCATTCTACCTCAGTAGAGACCTTAAACTTTTATTAAGTAGATTAGTTGTGACTGAATGGTAAATAATGAAGGTTTTTTTTTATATCCAGTAGTTAGTAATATGATTTAGGTGTCTTGTTGTTATTGGTATCTATCGCAATTCAGGCATATAATTTAATATGAAGATTTGTTTATGCAAAAACAAGCTGGAGGCTATGGAGCTAAAAAATACCAAGAGCAATTGCACTGAATGATGAGTTAAAGGCTCTCCTTACATATAAAACATACAGATCACACAATAGCAATGTTTATTCAGTTTAGAGAATAATGCCCCTCATGAATAAATGGTTTAATATCTCTTAGTTCCGATTGTACCATGACCAAAGTTTTGCTTTTCTGGTTCTATGTGCCACTTAGTTGAAGGCAGCGATGCACATGTTTTTGCTTGTGCCTGGATGTGTGGTTCTGCCCATAATTGATGTGCTCTTAGGGTGAAAGTACATGGTCGGAAATTAGGAATGACCTCCATTTTCAAGTCACCTCATACCTGAATGATTCCCAGACAAAAGTTATACTATTTCAGAATGTAAAGGTAAAAGATTTGTTAGGATTTTCTTACATGTTTGAGTTGTTCATTTAATTTAAGTGTTGTAGTTGAAGTAACCTGGTTGAAAGCAATATGCAATGTATGATGAATCAATGTTGTAGAAATATGTCAAGAGTTTCTTTATCTCTTTGTTATATACATAGATATACAATCTTACTGGAGATTACACTTGCATGTGAATCCAAATGAGCTCGTATAGGTAGATAACCATTTACATATTTAGTAAAGACATGGTTTCCATGCACCAGCATATTAGCAGCGGGCATTCAATTAAGCTGACATGACCTATTTATTACAACTGCTATTTCATGTCAAGCAAGTTATTCTCATATCTTCTTTGTTTACTTAGTCTACAATAGTTCCTTATATACTTGATTCTGGTTAGACGAGTAAGTTAAAGTTATGTCTCTACTTCACTTCTTACTCCCTTACATTTGCTCTCGAACTGGAGAGTGGAGACCACTCTTTTTTAAGAATCTCTTTTTGGTGAACTGAAGACTGCTCCAACACTCTAGCAGATTGCTCTCCCTATTAATCATTATTTAGTTCTTGGCTTTCCCAATCAGAAACACGAACCCTTTGGTGGATCATTTTCTTTTTTCTGTTACTACCATGCTACGCTCGCATCAAGAGGCCAATTGATTGGACATGAGAATTAACCGCAGATAGTAACTTCTTGTCATTTATTTTGCATAAAGTCATGTTCCCTCTTTAAACTGGTGCATGAATTCCTCTGGATTTACATGTTGGCTTTTTTTTACTAGGAAGCTGGTATTGATGGGCTCAGCAGCAAAACCCATATGAAGATCATGCTGAAATGGATGAGAGGAAGGAAGATGCTCAAACTTTTCTGCACCCACCATGGTTCTGCCAAAAGATTTCTCCATTCTACCCTCCCTGAAGATCCTCGACCTGTCGAGCAAGAGATCGTGACTGCTGCACCTTCTGATAGCCTACAGCCTTCTATGAGGCAGGAGAAGAAACAGTTGAAGAAGCTGAACAAGAAGCAGAAAAGGTTTAATGTAGCCTAACATTTTGGTTCATTTTTGGTCATTTATGTGCAAGTGCTCAACTTTTTTTAGTTTTCTGTTGTGGTATCCGATTGATCTTTTTCCACCTCCATATCCTGTGTTTGCGTAGAAACTTTGGGAAGTAAGCAGAAAATAACGTTTGATGCATCTTCTTTAGGCAATGATTGATTGATAATCTTGTCATAGCGTCTATATAACACTGCATTTTGTGGCAAATTATGGTGGTAATGGACTTTGGGAACTACCATATTGTAATTCCTTCTGTAAGGAGATCTGTATTTACGCTTAAGATACTTGTGAGAGGAGGACTGGAGCTTTGGTTCATTCACTTCAATATCTATCAAAATTTCTAATCTACAAGAATGAAATCTTTGGTATGCTTATTATCTTTAGTTTAATCTGTATCTGTCTTAATTCTACCCTTTACTCAATTCTACCCTTTACTCAAGTAGTTTACCAAATTGCCCAAGACTTATGCCTTTAATATCTTTAGTTTAGTTTGTATTTGTCTTAATTTTACCCTTTATTTGATTAGTTTTTTCTTTGCTAATTTGTATTTGTCTTAATTTTACCCGTTATTTGTATTTGTCTTAATTTTACCCTTTATTTGATTAGCTTTTTCTATGGCTTTTTAATTCCTATTGTAGATGCTTTGCATGTCATACCTTCAATGGTAGATGTTATGCATGTCAAATTGGTACTGTTTCTTTTATTAGCCTTTGTTTGGCAGTCTGCTGTAAGTTTCAATAAAATCTTTAATACTCTGCAAAATTGATGATTTATACGGGAAAAATCTAAAATTTGAAGGCAGGCAAACGGTATTTGCAGATATAAGAAGCCACACCTCAGAAAGTTCAAAATATATATTTGATACTATTCATATGTTATATATTTGCATTACTTCAGTTTAGGATTTAGGATTATTAATTTGTTTGATGCAGAGTAGAGATAGAACACGTTATCGCAAGTATTTCATTCAGTTCTTCACATACACATAATGCTTGTGAAAGGAATGAAAATTACACACTTACCTACATGTGAAGCTATAGTATATCTTCCTCAATGACGTCTGCCTTATAATTAATCAATACCCCCAGTCAATTTGCTAAAAGAAGATTTGAACCCCCCATTGACAACACCACAAGCCTTCCTAATCTCCCCGGCTTTGCCTTCAATAACGTGAAGGCCCCCCAGTTTCACCAACGCAGCACCAAACTTCTTCATGAACAAGTCCTCGTCCTTTCCCAGAGCAGCAACAATACCAGCAGTCGAGTCATCCAACGTTAGCTCCTGATCTATTAACATCACTCCTCTATACTGAGCAATTTGGTTATAATACTGGTTGTCGACCGAAAATGAGGTCCCTTGGTCCAAAAACGCCACTGGATCCTTCTGCTTTGGTGTTGCACCACAATGACGGATGAGCTTCGTGCGTAGAGTGGGATCCATTGTGGGGCCCGGCTTCCCGGTTCCCTGGAAATTGAAGAGACGGTCACGGAAGAAGCCGCAATGGGCAACGCCGACAGTGTGTGTTTGGGGAAAAATTTGCAGTAAAAAGACAATGAAAGAAAATTGACTTGTATTCGCTTAAAATCGATTACAATTTGGATTCCGATTACAAAAGAGAGGAGAACGAATTTGATTCTCCCCATTTGTTTAATTCTGCGTTCTTCACAGTGGCGATAGAGTGCCTCCCTCGAATGCTCGCGTCGAGTTTGCTCTCCGTTGACGATCCGACGTTTTGATTCACTGGAACGATATCTTCTCCTCACGATTTGACGTTGTGGAGAACTTGCGTGGCAAGTTTGAAACTCTGAATGAGTTGATAACTCTGGACGAGTTTGAACTCTTGAAAAAGAGTTGATTTGTTTTAGAACTCTGAACGAGTTAGAACTCTGTGAATAGAGTTGTTAGAACCGAAGATTCGGTTAATGACCAAGCAGATATTCTGTTGTTGAAGAATCCTTTCAGTTTTGATCTTCTGCACTCGATTCAAAAATCCTATCTCCAAGGATTTCGTCTCTCCTGCCTCTCTGTGCGGTTGAGATCCTGCAGAACTTCCAAACCCGTACAGTTTAGATGCTGAAAATCTAACCTTGCTGCCTCTCCGTTCCAAAAAGCCAGCCCTAACTCCATTGAGTTTACCCATATTTATAGGGAATTAAGGGGTGTAACTGTCCCCTTAATTCTCTTCATAATGGGATTGAGAGGGATGTAACCCCCCTTAATCCGCTCCTAAGTGGTGCAGAAATCCCTCAAATCGTGGAGAGAAAACGGTTTCTGCAACCGTTCAGCTCGTGTTTGAACGAGTCAAACGCCCACGTTGGCGTTCAGGACCCTAACTCCGCATTTTAGACTGGAGACGCGGAGTTGGGTACCCACTGGGCATTGAAAAACGCGGGTCCGACCCCAACGTTTTAATGTTGTAACGCGGGTCCGACTCTAGCGTTTTGATGTTGTAACGCGGGTTCGACCCTCGCGTTTTACTGTTGACACACGAGGAGGACCTCCGCGTTTTGGTGTTGATACACGGGGAGGACCTCCGCGTTTTGGTCTTAGAGCGCGGTGATGAGTTCCACGTCTTGATTTGGAGAGATTATCAACAAGTAATCTCTTTTGTCATAGCGTTGCAAAGATCATTGTCTTGTAATCTTCGTCTTGGTTCCTTGAGAATATGAGAGTCGTCAGATTGTAACTTACGATATTGATTGTGAATGTTGTTGAACTAGAGCTCTCATCGGTTGTCGTGAAGGATCTCCATTAAGATTGATTCACGATCAAAGGATCTCCATATTAATTCAACAATTTAATCATTTAACTAAAATATTTAATGAATGTGTCCCCATGCACACACATTTGGCAATGCATACCACAACAGAGAGGAGAAATGTACGTCACAGAATCACATATTTCGTTTCCTCTCCATTAACAAATATATAAATACACAACTCAAAAACAAATAGCCATTTTCCCCTTTAAGCAGAGATCTTCGACTCCGACTCCTTCTCGTCTTCTACAACTTTAGATTCCTTCGCCTCTACGGTCTTCTCCTCGACCACCACCTCTTCCTCAGTTTTGGTTTCCTTCACTACGGTGGCGTTGACTTGTTCTGCAACAGGTGCAGTCACAATTAGCTTTGGTGCGTCGACCGTCAACTCACTGATCTCAGGGGCCAAGTCCACCCCGCCGCTTTTGCTAGCTTCTGGTTCTGGCTCTGAGAGGTCTACCAAGGGCTCTTCCTTGGTCTCGGGCTCTGTGCCCTTTTCAGCCTCCGCCTGCACAAAAGATCATTCAAAGAGAAAAATTGAACTACCGGGTCCTGGCCATCTTTAGCAAGGGCGCGCATCCGTACACGGTAGTGCGTACGTGCGTTTTAACACTCTAATCACTAAAAACAGCTACGTTTTGTATGATTGAAAATAAAACATTTATTTGAATTATTTTCCATTAATTTTTAAAATAACCTTACTTCAAAGGGTTAATTGTACATACACGTACCCCATATTGTAGCATGGTTTGATGGTTGTTTTGAACGTACTAGCAGTGTGGTTTCACTGTTGCATATAGGCCCCTAGGGCCTAGGCTAATTTTTTTTTTCTTGACGTTTTTTTACCCTCAGACAGACTGGCTACTTTCATCTACTAGAGTAAAAGTGTACTTAAGGAAATTTAATACAACTCGGGCCTATCTGCAACAATTAAACTATAAAATAGAGGTCTATGAGCAACTAGAACTACAAGATAGTAAAAACTAGTGTCGTACCGCCTGAACTGGGGCATTAATGTCCCCGCATTCACCAGGATTGGTGACCTCAGGCTTCTCTGTAGGGGCGGAGGTGGCGTCATCCAGCGTCTTGGGCCCGCTAGCACAGGCTCCCATCGTGCTGGATGACAAGGAGGCAAATTAATTAATGAGGGGAGTTGGAGATTCTAGATTAATAATGCAGGGAAAATGGTGATTAGATTAAGGCCACGGTTCCGGACTTATATATCGTCGGTTTGAGGGTTGAGCAATATTGGACAGGAGGGAATGAAGGAAGTCGAGGATTTTGGATGGTAATTAAGAAAACAAGGATTAATTGGTTGGCTTTTGACCTCTTCAAGTGGTCCATATGCTTTTATTAGTTACATTAGGCCCCAAGTCTTCATGTTTTTAATTTACGCTTCGTTTTTATCGAGGTTTTATTAAAATTATATTAGACATTAAATTCTTTCGTGAACTTTATGTTAGATTCTCGAATCTTCATATTTCTAAACAACTCCAAATCTATTAATTAATTCCGAGAGTATAATTTGCTAACACTATGTTTGGGAGTTTACTAACGGGGATAGAGAAAGAAGGGAAAGGGAAATGTAATATAATCATTTCTGGAGTTAGGAAAAGGGAACAAAGGGGAGGGAATCATTTCTTAACCTTTGGATTCATATCATGATGGTCCAAAAAATTTTTACCTCATCTACACCACAATTTTAGAGGGAAATCCAATTATATAGAATGGAGGTTAAAAAATGTAAATTTTGTCAACTCAATTTTCCTCTATTCTCTTTAAAAAAGCTCTGAAACAAGGTAAGCCTATTTAACTTCCTTTCCCTGTCCCTCATTCAATCACATCCAAACAAGCCATACGTAACAATCATGGACAGAATCCAAGCATAATATGTTATTATATTCGTTGCCAGAGGATGATTATGGTACTTTTGTCCATACAATGATTAATGGTAGAACCACAGTCAATTATAAGGAGGTGACCTCAGCATTGGTTAATTATGAGTTGAGGAAGAGTGATAGTGAACCCTCCGAGAAGGCATCGGGAGATGCATTGGCAGTAAGAGGCCGTAGTCCCAAACCCGGTCCATTTAATCGCTCAAAATCGAAGCCAAGAGGTGGCCATAGAAGTATGGGTAGGAATTAATGTGCTTTTTGCAAAGAGGATGGACATTAAAAAAAATAAATGCCAAAAGTTGAAAGATAGAGCCGGGAAGAACAAGGGGAAAGCCGTACAGACTTCAGATGTGAAAGATGCTAAAGTTAGTGGTGATAATTCAAATTCAGATTCTTTAGGCTACTCATACCCAGTATTACCGTCAGTTTGTTATACAGAATCTACAGAGTGGATGTTAGATTCAGGTGCTACATACCACATTTGTCCTAGGAGAGATTGGTTCTCTAGCTTTGATGAGTTGGAGAGAGGGGATGTCGTGTTAATGGAAAATGATCACATATGTTTCATTGATGGTATTGGAAAAGTTCGAATCAGGATGTGTGATGGTGTGACTAGGGAGTTGAAGGAAGTGAGATTCGTTCCTCAATTGATGAAGAATATCATTTCACTTGAAACTTTAGAGGCATTAGATTATAGAGTGATCTTAGAAAATACAACTTTGAATGTCACAAAGGGGTCCATGGTGGTGTTGAGAGGTGTTAGCGAAAACAATCTTTACTACTTGAAGGGAAAGACAGTAACAAAGTGTCTGGCAGCTTCAATTACCATAAAGGAGGATACTACCCGTCTATGACACATGAGGTTAGGACACACTGGTGACAATTCTCTGCAGGTATTGGCAAAGTAAGGGCTATTGAAGGGAACAAAGACTTGCAAAATAGAATTGTGCGAACATTGCATGCTTAGGAAGAAGACAAGAGTAACATTTGGCACCGCAATTCATAACACCCAAGGTATATTAGATTATGTTCACACAAATATTTGGGGTCCCTCCAAGAACACATCTCTTGGTGAAGCCAATTACTTTTTTACTTTTATTGATGATTATTCCAGGAGGAATTGGGTATATACCATGAAGCATAAACATGAGATCCTAGATATCTTTGTGGAATGGAAAACTAAAGTGAAGCTGAGGACATGTAGAAAGGTAAAAGTACTCCGTTCTGATAATGGTGGTGAGTACAAGAGTGATCCATTTCTACAGTTTTATTGGGATCATGACATTCAACGCTATTTCACGGTTAGAAAGACACTACAATAAAATGGGGTGACCGAGAGATTGTACCGTACCTTGCTGGAGAAAGTGCGTTGTATGCTCTCACAGAGTGGATTAGTTAGATTCATTTAGGCTGAAGCATTGGTTTATGCAAGCCATCTCGTTAATAGGTTGTCGTGCACTACGATACATAAAAAGACTACTATGGAGGTATGGTTTGGTATAGTGGCTAGTGATTATGATGTGATTCGGATATTTGGATGTCCAGCTTACTATCATGTGAATGATGAGAAATTGAATCTGAGGGTAAGAAAAGCAGTCTTTGTGGGTTTCAGAGATGGAGTTAAAGACTTCAAGTTGTAGGATCCAGAAGACAAGAAGATGATCATTAGAAGAGATGTTACTTTTGATGAAGCTCACATCATGAGGTTTCAAGTTCCTCAGCAGGTGGAGGAAAGCCAGACTAGTGGGGTATCGCAGGAGGTGGATGATGATGTGACTCCACAGACTTTAGATAATATTATATCTATTGAGGTTCCTATAGAGGTAACACTGTGAGGAGATGATAAGACAGATGGGCAGGTGGAGTATATGTTAGACCCTAGAGGGGGGTGATTAGGGTCTTATGCTAATCTAATCCGATTTTATGCCAATTAAAACTAATTAACACATTATCCTAGCAAGTATAAAATACAACATGATATGTGAGCTAGGATAAGTAATATGAATAATGAGATATATCCTATATGATAAAAATATATGAAAGAATATATAAACTAACACAAGGGTGAAATAAACATAAACAAGATAGTGGATGAAATAAAATGAGCAATGCACAATTGGCGATATAAGATAAATGCAAAAGCAAATGCGCCAATGACAAACTCAAACACACTCAAATGATCACGGAGTTCGGACCTTCCGTCCTACGTCTCCGCTCCCCCACTCCTGGGGAGAAATCCACTATCACAACCGGGTTTTCTACGCTCACCCGAATAACGTTTACATTTATACACTAAGTGTAGGAACCTAGCCCGTGTCCTCCTCCTCAAGTGCTCGGATGCAACTTCTCCCTAGGTTCGTCAACCGACGCCACTCCTATTGGATTGGACCCCGTCTCTCGCCTCACACTTCTCTCGGTGTACAAGTGTATTACAAGTGATCTCACGATAAGCACAAATACAACAAATGATTATTCTCTAATATGGATGAGAACACAATAAAAGCTCACACTCAATTGTTACAACTCTCACCAACCCAAATATACTATGTATGAAAATACAATAAGCTCATGTGGGTGTGTGTAAACAATAAGTGAAATCAAATCAAATCTAAACTCAATATTAAAGCTAGCTTTAAAGAATGATAATCAAATAACTAAGCAAATGTAAAGCTAGATAAGAGTTTAGAAAACTTCTCAATGGATAACAAGATGGAGAGATGGAGATTGAAGCCCAAACAAGAAGATGATCTCCTCCACTTATGAAAACTTCTTCATTAACCAAACAAACACTAAAACACACTTAAACCCTTGTTTAAAACACTTCTTAGATTGCTTCATAGAACTGAGGTATAAGGGGGTATTTATAGAAACCCCAAAGCCAAGAGAAAACCAAGAAAAGACCAAAAAAACACTCAGCAACGGCTCTGGAAAACTAGCTGTTAGAACTAAAAAGACAGTGCGGCAGTCGACCGCGGCGGTCGACCGCGAGCAACAAAAAAACAATACTATGGCTCTGAACAAGCGACGGTCGTCCGCGACGGTCGACCGCGAAAGTCTCTGGACTACTTACGGTCGACCGCCACGGTCGACCGTGAGCCAACAAATAACATTCTGAGTTTTGAATTCATGGGCGGTCGACCGTGACGGTTGACCGCAAACAGACATATGGAAATAACAGGTTTGAACAGTATTCTGATTTTAAAACCCTGTTTAAAAATATCAAATAAATTCTAAAAAATATAAAACTTTGGGAAATAATTGTAGACATGATAATAAACATGCTACAATGACTGGTTTTTAAAAAGGACTTCCCAAATAAAAAAATATCATCATTTTACAAAATAGGTCAAAACATGAAAATATAAACATATGAATTTTGAAATTTAGGCTAAACCATGTTTTAAAACTTTGCACAATAATTATGTAAACTTAATAAAATATGTATATGATTATTGTTAAGTCTAAAAACTAAGAATACAATATTTTTACAAATACAATAGAAAATAAAACATATGAGTATGTATATGAAAATATATTTGTTTCATATATAAGTAGTTAAACCAAATCACAATAATAAATATGAAATATGTAATTTCATATTTGTAAACATGAAAACCAAAACTTGTGTTGTATATATATATGACTACATATATATACAAGGAAACCAATAAAATATGTGTGTATATGATATTGAGCTTAGAGTATCTAACACACATAATATAAAACCTAAACTAAGTTACCCAAGCTAGATCTTGATCTTCAATAAGCTCGACTTGGTACTTGCGGATGAAGCTAGTAATTGGATCTTTAACTTGATAGCAAGGCTTCACTCCACTATTCCGCCAACCTCCATTGGATATGATCGTGAAAGCACAATTCCATCCATCCTCCAACATATTATTTGCCTAAAATAAATACGAAAACACAAATACTAGACAAATAATATTAGATATAAATTGTTTGTAAATCATCATTAAAACAAGAAGGACAACAGTATACAGTGAATGTTGGGATTCAGGAACATGGTCGTGTTCAGGAGTCCATTGCAGTGAATAGACCGAGAAGAAATATTCGTCAGCTAGCTAGATATGACGATGTGCTGATCATATTGTTGAATATCATTTCTCCATGATAATGTTTTGATGATAACAATTTATATTGTGTGTGCACTAACTTTCATATGCAGATTTTAATATTAGAATATGTACAAGTGCAAGTGGATATCAAGGCATTTTGAAGTGAAGAAAATGAAGAACAAAAGATAATGTATTTGAATTTTTCTTTACTTA